TAAGTAAACAATCTCAACTCCTATTAGATCTTTTTAATTTTATTTAGATGATTTTAATACTTATATAAAACTTTTATTAAAATAGTTTTTACAAACAGATTAAAAAAGTTTTTAAACAATCTTTATGACAAAAAATTAAAAAAAAAAAAGAATGGGGCTCACCCCCATCCAACTATTTTAGTTGTGTAATTTAGAGTACCCTAAATTGTACAATAGTTTTATAAAAAAAATAAAATTAAAACATAGATAGTTTATTTCAATTTTCACTCCTAGGGGTTTTTTTCTCAAAAAATGACCTGGGCTTAGATGTAACAGTATCGGGCTTGTTTCCCACACATAATAATACGAAGGATCTGAGTTGGGCTGCAAACGGTCCAGTTTCAGACTTTCTGCGATTTGGAGGATGGGCTTTTGGACCCGAGCATAAATTTGGACTCTAGTTTCGTTTCCTAAATTACAGACCTAGCCAGTTTTAATACACAAATCTTTCCGCGCCACCGCCGTAGACCTAAGTCCAAAAACTGGTACCAACGACAACAAGACTCATACTTTAGCCCATACATATACCAGAAAAATGTTCTATTTAATTTGAAGATGGTGGGTGCGGAAGAACTAGCTGGGAAGATGCTGATGTTGATGAGAGTTTGAATCCTTATTCCCTTTATTCCCTTTTTCATTTCTTTCTTCAACCAATTGACATGTTCAATAAGAGAAAAAAAATAGAAAAGGAAAAAGTTTACTTGGTGGAGATGTTTGTTTGATTTTAAGTTATTTCTGACAAATTTATATTATAAAATGATGATAGTGTGTATTAATTTTAATTATAAAAAAAATTAAAATTTTAACTTTAAATAATATTATTTTATTTATTAAAATCTAATTGAAAATTAAATAATTCACCTTATTAATGTTGATTCCTACATTTAAAAACGAAAATTTAATTTAAAATTCAAAAATTTATCTTTGATACATGGATTCTAATAAAGTAGATTTTTTAATTTTGAATTAACTTTTAATTAAATACAATAATATAATTTAAGATTATAACTCTAATTTATTATCAAATTAAAATTTATTATCAAAAAAATAAATAGTTAAATGATTGCAATAAACTATAATTTAAAATTCTCAAATTTTTGTAAATAAGTACTGAGAATTCTTAAAATTACCTAATCATAAACTTAACAAGGTTGGACTTGTTCCCA